CATGCATCTCTCACTCAGCACCCGCCCTGGGCCAATCCTACCCAGCGCAAGGGATACCTGCATACAATGTACAGCGCGCCATGCCAAGTGAAGAAAATACAAAGTTCGCAGGGCGATCGCAGCCGGCAGGTTGCCCATGGCAGGGCAGCCACAGGTGGCGGGACGCAGCCTCGGCTTCGAGGGAACCATGGTCAGACGTTAAAGCAACCTCCTCCAAACCCCGTGCGAGAACGAGGACAGATGCAGGTCGATAGTGCCAATAGCGCACTCGGCCACCATGCTTGTCGGCTGCATGGTAGGGGAACGAGGCCAGAGAATGGGCGAGACAGGAACGCCTGGTTCAGGTGACCAAACCGGTGAGGGAGCCGACAAGACGAGGCAATCGTGGCTCTCGTCTGGTCGTCCAGGCCGCAGCCCAATGTCTTCAATGTAACGCCAATGCGCCGAGTGCGGCGCGGGGACGACAAACAATCATCGTCAGTTCGCTTACCTAAGGCTGGCTGTCCCCTCTCTCCTGCCTGCCTCCGCCCCGTGCTTTCCCACCTTGCGCCTGCCTCACCCGATGCGCCCACCCATTGCGCCTGCTGCTGCTGCTCGCCTGCTCGCTCACCTTCCTCACCTCGATCACCCACCAATCCACCAATACGGTACCTTTATTAAGCTCACCGTAACACCCCCCTCCCCCTGTTCACAACCCTCCGTGTCTCCGCAATGCAACCCTCCCAAATCAGCTCTACAAATCATCACCATCTCTCGTCCTTGCATTGTTCCATCAACCCATCTGTCTGTCACAACGTCCCATCCACGGCCATCATCGCTCGCCCCTCCGTCGATCGACTCCCTCTTGCAGCCCGCCAATGCCGCGGATGCACCACACCCGATCCGTATCGGCCTGGGCACGCCGGGGGCTCGCTGTCACGCCTTGCACGGCGGGGACCAAGGCCACCACCACCTCCACCCTATTGACGACCAACCCATGACAGCCCACCCATCGACACACTCTATCACATCTCGCCGGAGCAGCGCCCGCCTGCCGCTTGCAAACTGCGTGAGGCGACTCGATGTTGCTAGGTTCCCCGGCCAATCACTGCTATATGTCGCGCGCGCGCCTCTGCACCCCGTATGTTCCGCGGGACTTAGCTCGACATTTTGGTTACATCGCCTAACCATGTTATGGCATGGCATGACGGTATGCTAGATGAAGATATGCAGCAGCCTGCTGCTGTGCTGCCGCTTATTTCCTGATTGTCGGTTCGATAGCCTGAAGGGCCCGATGGCTAAGGTAGAGGATGTGTGCTTTGCTGCGCTGGCTACCTCGATCGCTGAACGCTAAATGACTGACCGACGGCTGGATGGGCTGGAGACGCCTGAGACCTGCGTCGCCTCTGCGTCGCCGTAGTTGGCCTTTAGCCAAAGGGCGCCTCCGTCGTCCTTCCCTCTTATTCTTCGCTGTTCTCTTCTTCTGCTTCGTTGTCCATCGATTGCCTCGTTCGCTTCTGCTTTTGTATCTGTGTTATATCGCGTTACGTCTTACGGTCGTATAAGTACCGCTTTGAGCCCTTATCTTACTGAATAGCTTAGTCTGGTCCCGCGACTATTTCCACTTCGTTGCTAGGTATGATATGCGTATGACTCTGGTAACCTTGATGCGTACTGGACAAGTAGCGCCTTCACCGACGCCTAGAATCCGATACTAGCTAGCAGCTAGCAGCTAGTAGCTAGTAGCTAGTAGTAGAAGTAAGGAGGAGGCAGGGAGCAGGACCTATTACTACCCGTCTCTGTATCGTCCGTGGCCCCTTTGTTGGCCTGGAGAGAGATACCTTATAAGGTACCGTCGCTCTGCCCCCCTCCCCTGAAGATCCTCGTAAGTTCTTGAAAGATTATAACGCGGCCTAGAGTATATCGAGCCCGCTATGGTATATAGCAGGATAACCTTATATTATTCGATACCCCCTTCCTATTAGATCTTTTGACTACCGAAGTAAGTATACGGTCGCCTACCTCTGCTCTACGTATAAACCTATGAGACTATACTAACGTCCCGAGTGCCAGCTGCCCACCATGTCTTGGGCCGCCGAGTCAACGACAACCATGATTGTTAAACTATAGCAGTTTTCTATTAATACGAAGTTTCTAGTAACGAATACGGTCCCGGACCTCCGCTTCTAGGAGTATACTCGCTAGCTTACCCTACTCCGAGACTTTCTAGAAACCCTCCGTAGGTAAGGCCTGAATTAAGCCTTCTAAACCGTCGACTTTGACGACCTTACCGAGACGAGTCGCTTACCTGGTAAGAATCACGCCCGTGTTGTCGTTAGAGACCCTATGCGCACTCGATACGTTTTTAAAGGCTTCGACTTCGAGTACTTTGTGTAGTACGGCCCGGACTTCCACGAACACCAGCGAAATACCATGCTGTACGAGATTCGCACCCTCGCCGCCCTGCCGATCTACCCTAATATTATGCCCTGCCCTGGTATATTGGCTATTGTTCGTGATCCTGGCGGCTGTGTACGGGTATGTGGATTTATCTAACTAGTGATGGAGCGGGAGACGCTGGATGACCAAATCGCCAATGCCGGAGACACTCGTATTCCTCTGCTGCGCAAAGCGAGGTGATGCTTCTAAATGGCACGTGCCGTCCTCCATATATACTGTATCGCAAAGACGTTTCATATGGACGTTAAGCCTGGCAATATCCTTATCGATGATACGGACGGTATCCGTCTTATCGACTGGGAGTAGAGCGGGGTCTCCATGTTCACGTACGCCCTTGAAGCAATTATCGACTAGGAGGCGTGGGAAGACGTTGACTCCTCGGTTGATACCGCTATACAGACCAGGCCGAGGATCATTTATATGCCATATGTCGGCCCTTCACGTAGCTGCCTAGGCTGTCTGCGACAGTGTGGCTAATAGATAGACAGTCTGATAGACCGCGGACCGATAGACCGGCCATTCTCGTTAGACCGATAGACTGGATAGAGCGGTCGGTCTGGGGTGATCTGGGTGAGTCTGGGTAGGCCGAAATGGGGATCTGTTTCAGTGCCGTTATTGGCCTACTGTGCCCCGGAATTAGGCGTAGGTCTGTTTACTCGGCGCGTCTGCACTTGCTAAAACTATTGTAAATATTCGCGTCGTGCACTGTGTTAAACGATATTCCGCTCTAGACGGAAAGGCGTCCCGGCCTATATGGGCACCGTTGTTTGTGTATATACCTGGGACCTTCGTCCCCTTGACTTGGGCAGTGGTTAAGGCTAATTTGACTCTCTATAACCCTTATATCTCGATACTCCGTACGTGCGCATCTATATCCGCACTATGATGTCTTCTAGCAGGACTTCGAGCCCCGTGCCGTCTATACCGTAGTCTTTTGCGTCTTATCTACCTCTAACCTCGACCGATACCGCCCCCGAGGCTATAGTAGACGATGCTCCTTAGTATGAATTCGACATCGATTGGGAGAATATATGGTATTGCGGAAAAAGACTTGTGGGTATTAAAATGAGGCCTCGTCATAGACGGGTCGTCGGTACTAAGATGAAAGAGTTATGGATATATCGATATGGTGCTAATTTAGAGTATAAAGGAGTACGTTACTGGCTTTGCAGACTCTGCCGCGAAAAGAGGAGCTATTCGACGGCTCTGTACGCCTCGTCAGGGACAGCACACGCCGCGAGGCACCTGCTCCGTCAGCACCAACTCGCTGAAATTGATGACAGCAGTCCCAGCTTGCCAACTCCGTTTACCTTGGCGGCCACGTCCGCGTCCTCTTCTGTTCGTCCTTTGTCGCGCCAGGCCAGTCTAGGCTTTCAGCTCGCCTCCCACTTCGATGAAAGGTCATGGAAATCTCGTTTCGTGGATTGGATCATCCTCGAAGATGTCACCTTCCGGCAAGCGTCCAGCGAACGGCTTCGGTGGCTAATAGCAAACGGTGGGGAGCTTGCAAGTCAGCTGCTTCCTGAGCATCACACAACGGTCTGATCGTGGATCCGTCAAACGTTTGAATCCCGACGACAGGTCATCTTCAATCTCGTCAAGGGCGCGAAGAGCTCCGTTCGCCTAAGCTTTGATCTCTGGCCTGCTTCAAACGGGTTTCACTACATCGGCATCGTCGGCCACTTTGTTGACAGTGAAGGCGAAAAACGCGATGTCCTTCTTGGACTGCCGCGCCTAGTTGGTCCACACTCTGGTGAGAGTATGGCCCCGTATGTCAAGGAGGTAATCGACCAATACGAAATGGGCTTCAAGCTTGGATATTTCATGCTTGATAACGCCGAAAGCAACGATACTTGCCTAGAGACGCTTGCTAGGTGGTTTCCGATGGACATCAGCCGGCGCCGCTTACGTTGCATAGGCCACATTATCAACCTGGTTGTCCGGGCTATCATCTTCGGCTCAAACGTTACCAAGTTCGAGGCGGAGCTTCGTGGGGCTACGGATGAATTCAGTTTCGAGATTTGGGCCAAGAAGGGGGCCATTGGCCGACTCCACAACCTTGCTACCTTGGAATTCTCTATTTGGAGAAGATCGACTGGGAGAAGGCTAGTCATCACACAGAAATTACCGGTCCCCAGGACCATGGCGGGGGCGTCCAACGACTTCCAATGGCGGCCTTTAGCAGCCCAGTGACAAAGCCACGAACTGCCATGATGGTGGAGGAACTCCAACTCCCATTAGACAACTTAACCCCGTGGCACCGGACCTTTTTTTCCAAATGTCTCAAAGCAACGAGTCTGGAGTGACCAGCGGCTTGAGCAGCCTGAAACTTCATTCTAGGCTAGCTCTCAGCCCAAGTGATCGACTCGCGCTCGTGCAGCTAGCTACTCACTCTTTCTCGGGGGTTCGGAACGATGTGGAAGATTCAACTTGAACTTCTTCGACCAGCGCCACCCTACAGTTGACTGTCCCTGGAAGATCGACCCAGAGAGCTGTGCCAGCTGCAGGTTGCTAACTAAGAGCCGACACTAGTTGGAAGCTAGGCTGAGGTGGCGTCTACTCTCTAGGGTTCCTATTGATGGTCCGAGCGGCTCCCTCGGCGCTTTTTCACGTGCTATTACTTGCCACTGTTGGTTATTAGAAGCCCAGTTTATCCACGCTGCTGCCTGAGAGACGGTCCGAAGAATTCTTCACAATGGGCTGCTTCAGAAACCGCGCGACTGGCCCAGAAGAATTGTTAACTCTAGGGCCAATGTATCTAGTTAGAAGAAAATAGTTACCTGCGACGATCCGCCGTTTAAGGCCACCAAAATCAAGGGTCCGCACCACCTCGTCTTGGCTTGGAGGATAAGTCTCGGGTCAGTGCCAGCAAGTACTCGTTTGAAGGCGCTTCAATGACATTGGCACCAATTACTGGCGGCCTAGTTGGAACCTAATTACCATTCCCCTGACTGGCCTTGCACCTCATCACAGGGAGTGTGGAGCGACAATGTCCACTATAATGTGAAGCTCGAAGTTGTGTCCCGACCCACCGGTCGCCTGCTGGAAATACCATAACATGGCGCAATTAGACTTCAGCCTTTGCCTCAAAAGTCGGTCTTGCTCCTCGATCTTATTGGGGAACAAGTGGCAGGCGAGTCTTAGGGACTCTTGTCATGTGGCTGGGCCGCTGGACTCCGCGGGGATTTAGTCGAAAGCACTCGGATCCCTCGCCACCGCCGCCCCTGTCTAGGATTCCCGCATGTCAGGCCACCGAAGCAGAGTGAGCCCCTGCATCGACGAATAACTTAGTGTAGTCGTCACGAGTCAGCCCGTCAGAGCTAGGGATCTAGGAGGAATTCAGATTACTGTGCATATAATAGAGATTCCCTCTGACTTGAACCTACATGCATTGTTACTCTCCAACACTAAACCTCTGGTACTCTTTTAGAGATTACAAAGGGACCTTATTTGAAGTCATTTTACATAAATCTCTCCAGCAAGTTACTCTTTCATCGTCCAAGTCGTTCTGCTTCAACGCCTCCAGTCCAACCGCCGGTTTCTCGTCGCCATGGCTATTGTTGAACAATTTGTTCTGCTTAGCTTCGGCTTAGCTACCATTGCGGTTCGAGTCGGCGTACGATGGCACCAAGTCGGGGTCTTGAACTGGAAGCTCGATGACTACCTAATGCCTTTGACGGGGGTGAGTCGTACAATGTCCCGCATCACCAAGCACACTACGAGTGGAAGCTCAATTCATGACCCCTGACATATGGGTTAATCGTGTATACAGATCGTTTTTACTCTCGAAGTGGTTGCCGCATATTTAGTGGGCGCCGAGTTCCAAGGACTGACCAATAGCTATATGACGGATGCAGAACGAGCGTTACTGGACCCTGTCTCGCGAGAGTATTTCAACCGCGTATGGGGTTCGAAGATCCAGGGTAACGCTTCAAGGCGCCAAAGCCCATCGCGAGTGCTAGCTGACCGTGACTTGTAGTCATCGGATGGTCTCTCTACGTCTTCATCCTATGGGCGCTGAAGTTTTGCGTCACGGCGTTCTACTCACGACTGACGTATGTGCCGACCAGACGAGGAAACGCGCCACCATCTAAGAAGCGCCGAGCCGTGACCTCGTCTCCCCCTTCCGTCTTTGACATTCTGATAAGTGGCATAGATCCGGCTTGACTCATCTCAGGACCCGTGTGCGAATTGCATATGTTCTCCTCATCATCACTTATCTGACAGTAGCGCTCACGCTGCTGCTCTCATGCCAGCCGATGCACAATTTCTGGCAGGTCAATCCTGACCCGGGTACGCTTTGTCGACCGACGAATTCCCCAGCATACGTCTTGGTGGTCGTGATTCCCAACGTCTTGACCGACATATACTTGCTGTCCATTCCGCTGCCGGTACGTAGATGACGACTCCGACGAGATACTCACATCATACAAGTTGAGGCAAAGATCCAAGAAGACCGCAAACACTAACATATTGCACATCAAATTACAGCTTGTTTGGGGTGTAAACATTAGCCTTCGTCGACGACTTACCCTTATGTTCCTCTTCAGCGGCGCCGTATTCGTCGTCATGGCTGCTACGATTAGAGCCGTGGTCATCAGCACGGTAAGTCCAACCCGCAGCGAACGAAGACCCTGCAGGAACCCTTTACCCCTTCCATGCAGAGCTCAACCTGGCTAATCAATTAACACCATCCAGTCCGGGCCCGAAGGAGCAGTCTCAGGCAGCTCCTGGGCTTGCCGGGAGACTTTCGTCGCCATCGTCGTAACGAATCTGCCCATTATCCAGCCCCTGATTCGAAAAGCCGCCAACAAAACTGGACTCAGCACGCTCTTCACCAGATCCTCGCCCACTGCAGCAGAGAGCTACCAGCTCGACAGCAACCCCGCGGGCACCAATGGCTGTGGTAGTCACTTCAATACGAGACGGGAGAAGGGAGCAGCTCCACACCCGCTCTCAATTCCGCAGGCTACAGCCTGGGGCAGTGACGAGTACATTTTGCACGATGGATTGGACGGCAAGAGTGCGGAAGCCAAGGATGGAGACTGTACCGAGTCTGTTCGATCGCACTTCAGAGTGGGGAGCTGAATGATGCAGCACGGACAGTACTTATGTAGACGAAAGACTACCTATGTCAGTCAGCAATAACGCTCATCCACCGAATTGAATGCTGACATTTTGGGTCACATCTGGACCTTCTGAGGTAGACATCTGTATCTACAAGTTCTCACAATCGCTTAAAAAGAGTGTGCTTGAGTCAAAGTGGCAGATGGTTTGCACAAGCCTGTATACACCCTAAGTGGAAGAACTGGAGTAATGGAAGCTGTTAAGATCTCGGGGGACAGAGTCGTTAAGGCCAGAGTGGCTATGGCTGGCTGGCCGGGACGCAGTCGGAGCCTGCGAGGCTACTAGACGGCGACAGCGCACCGCTTCGGCAGGAATATATGGTGGATAAGGGCAGGTTAGTCATAGACAAGAAGAGACCGCGCCGGCTGGGCGGCCTTAGGACAGTCTGGGGCAAGACATGGTCGGCTTGTCAAAAACTAGCTCTCGAGCTAGCAACGCGCTCGGAGACGAGGACAAGCAACGGGAAGCCAGGCCAGGGCTTGCCACCCTGGATAACTGGTGGGCCGTGGCGGATATACTCGATCTGTAAGGGTTATGAATGGTCTCGAGCTGCTATAGGAAGGAAGGCGTCGAAAAACTTGCCCCTAGGACGACCGAGGGATCTACGGTACGGTGTCGCCTTTTACTCGACTCGCACTCGAGGTGCCGTAACGGGAGGACTCCTAGGTGGTACTGCTCGCGCCGGGATGGCGCTGCGTATTCCGGACTTAGGTGTGGTGTCTCCGCTACGGGATTGACGTGATAGGCTTTAGGAAGGGGTATATTCGGCCGGAGAGGACGGACGCGTATGTCGGTGGACTTAAAGAGGGAAACGCCCTTACGGTCTGCTTAAGGTGCAAACCTTCTATTTACTTGGCCAGGGTCCGGGCGGTGGCGAGCCGGCGGACCGGAAGCCGGTTAGAGAGTTGGTCGCTCTCTGATTATAGGACCCGATATACTTAGGGTGACTTTGTATGTAACTTGTCCTGTGGGATGAGGGAGGATAGCGGACTATAGGAAATAGAAGGCCAGACCGCAAAGAGGCAAGCCCGACAACACGCCGACCCCGAGAAGACAGAACCATGCACACCATACCGAGCCTCATCGACAACGCTCTCAGCGGCCCACAGGGCCCAAGCAGAGTACCAGGCCCTGCCGGCACGGGTGGGGACATGGTCCAAGAAGATTGACACAGCGCTGCCAGGCAGTCACACGCGCACGGTATACGATGCCATAACAGCAACTCAAGCCAGGGCTCTTGCCCAACTGCGCACAGGGATGATAGGACTGAAGGGCTACCTGGGCAGAATTGGAGCCACGCTAGACGGTGTGTGCGCCTGTGGACAAGGTATAGAAACGGTTGAACACTTCCTATTCCGATGCCAGAGATGGGACCGACAGCGAACGCAAATGCAACAAGAAACAGGGCCGAGAACGGGCAATCTGTCCTTCCACCTAGGAGGAAAGTCAAGAACAGACCCAGACGGCTGGATACTAGACATGGGCGCAATCCGGGCGACGATCAAGTTCACACTGGCAACTGGACGGCTTGAAGAAAGTCAACAAGCAGCGTAAATCACACCAAATCATCCCACTACTAACCAAAACACCCCTCATGCCACGAAAGCAGGGACGCACCAGCGGCTAAAGATGGGAAGCTGGGCACCTGAAGAAGACGGCTTCACGGACGACCTATTAACTATTATTAGATTGATTGATTTTATTATGCCCGATAGGGTCTAGGGCAACTACCGGTTAAATACATATTCCATTCTATTACGTATCTTTCTTATCTCGTCTAGCCCTTATAAAAGTCTCCTCCTAAATATACTCTACGTATAATCCATAGTTAATAGCGAATTCTCGTGAGGGTTAATAGTAAGTTATCCGTGAAGGCGCGCTTCTCTAGGTGCCTAGCTTCCTATAGTTAGCCGCTAGCGCGAACCTGCTATTATGTCACGAGGTGGGTATATTAGTAGAGGGGGTCGGTAGTTATAGGTAAACTTATAAGGTCTTCTATCCTTCGTTTAGTCTTCTAGTTACTATAGTATACTTAATAGGAGTATATATTATTATTATATCGGGTTTCTAATTTTCTAAGTTAGTAAGCGCTTTCCCCCTAAGATAGAAGGATAGGTTTCCTATCTTCGATCTAGTTACTCGCTATATCTCAGCCTATAGCGAGGTCTATCTTATATATCTAAAGAGGAAGTACTCTATCGTCTCCATAGCTTACTTATAAGTATACTCGGTATCCTATATAGCGCTAATCTTCCTTAAATAAGTATCTAATTATATTATTCCTATCTATAACTATATAAGGACGCTCGCCTATATTATTATTAGGCTATTATATATCTAATATATATATCTTCCTAGCTATTAAGAGGGCTTTACTACTTATATAAACCCTAATCTAGTACTTCCGCTATACTTACGAGCTCTAAATAGGTAGGGTATCTAATAAGTCTTATAATAGTTAATTCTTAATTAATTCTTATCTACTTCTCTAAGTTACTACTACCTATATAAGTTAGATATACTTATCTGCTCTTAGTAATCACGTAAGCCGTAGTTTATATGCTCCTAAGAGTAGTAGGTCCTAGATATCCCTAATATCTTAGATATTATTATCCTAATTATAAAGTTCCTTAATATTAATTTAATATTAGCTCTTCTTTTCTTTATAAGTAGAATAGCTATAAGAATTAATATTAGGAGCTATTATTAAGGTTAATAGCTACTCTAATATACCTATAATTCTCTAGTCTCTAGTATATTAGATCTATTCTCCTAGCCTTAAAATAAATAACCTAATAATAGGAAAATAATAAGAAATAATAATTAAGAATAAGGAAAATATAACTTAAACCTATTATTCTTATAAATATTAAGCCTCTAGTTCCTAGCGCTTTAGAGTAATAGTATTATCTATAAATAGCTTTTTAAAGAAATAAATTAAATTATAATTTAAATAATAAGAATAAGCTACTAAATCCTAGAAATAAAGGAAATAAATTAAAATCTAATAATAAATAATATTCTATAATTATTAAATATATATTCCTAAGGCCTCTAAATCCCTAATATATTAATAGAATATAAAAGAATAATTATTAGCTTTTTATAGAATCTATTAGAATAATTCTTAATAAATTTAATTATTATTTAATAAGAATAATAGGATTAAATTACTTTAATTAAATAGGATCTATAGAAGATCTATATATCTTATTAATAAGTTTTAATAATTCTATTCTATTAACTTTTCCCTTTCCTTATATCGATTTCTTTAATTTTTATAAGCTAACTTAATATAGATAAATAATACTTATATAATTAATAAATACTTATTTTTATTACTCTTATTTATTTATTTTCTCTCTCTTCTTAGCTTTAATAATACCTCTTAAATATAAGACCTTTACGCTTAAGCCCCTTAAGGCTAAGAGAATAACTAAATATAGGAATATAATTACTAGTATATATCGTAATCGATATAGGAGGTATTAGGCAATAACTAAGGGTATAGCTTAGTTATAGAATAAAGAGATAATAATAGATAAGAGGAAGGGAGAGATAAAAGTAGTTATATCTCTGGGAGGAGATATCGGGTCGAGGAATAGATCGAATATTCTTATAGCCCTTAACGAGAGCTATAAAATAGTGTATTTTTCGTTTAGATCGAAGGTAAATAGGTCGAGGGGTAATTAGAAGAAGGTTATAATTAATTAAGAGAAGTACTTAAATTAATCCTAATAGGAGTAAGGCGTATCTTAGAAGGTATTTATTCTTAATAGTTAAGAACGTATAAATTAGATAGGAATTACTATATAAAAGGGATTTACGAGTATTATTAAAATTAGATAATTATTAAGATCTAAAAACCTAAAAAATAGGTCTAGGGGGTGCCCTCTATATATAATAGACTAACCCTTAGTAGCTATACGTAGATAAGGCGCTTAGACTACCTCTAGACCTACGGGGGAAGTAGAGTTAGATTTAAGCTCTAGCTAATAGGGTATAAGAGAACTTAAATGCTTATTATTATAGAATAGCTCTATAGAATGATATAAAAATTATACTATTCTATAGCTACGATTTTTCTCTATTTTATAATATATATATCGTTATAATTTAGCTTTTATTTAAACTATTAGAGTAATTATAAGACTCTAACCCTTATAACTCCTATACCTCCCTATAAAGTAGTATATATATAGATATATAGATATAATAGCTTATATATTTAGAGGATAAAAAAAAATAAAACCTTATAGTATTATTATATATAGGGAAAAAATTAAAACCCTATAATATAGAAACTAGATAAAAACTATATATTATATTATTATAGGAAAATCCGAAGATAAAAAACCTATTTAATACTTAATTTTAGGTATTTTATTATATTTAAGCTATTTATAATCTATAGG